GAGCAAAATTTGTGGGCAAACAAAAAAGGGTAACACACTTATTTGAAGGGATTTTGACGAACTTGGACCTATCTTTGGATGCTCTTGTGTGTAAAGCAAAAACCGCATTTTACAGCTTTGCAAGAAAACTTTAACAGAACTCCTTTCCAATAAGAACAGATTTTGTATAAACCCATGGAATCAATTATTCAGTACGAAAAAGACTAGATAAGCCTTTCTGTGTAAATAGTCAATTGACTGTTGAGGACTTTAACGACATTGTTCAATAAGTTTTGAACGGGAAAAAGAAGGGTAGAAAACGTTCGTGCTTTCGAAAAATAGCTGTTCAATGCGCTTCTCCGGTCAACACGGAAAGTTCCATTGCAAACGAATGCCTTGGACTAGTGACGAATTAGCAATCTCTCAAGGAGTCAAACCCATACTCAAGATCATCAAGTGTGTCTGTTGTCTGCGAACAGTCGAATGATTTAAATCACATTGGATATTCTAACACGAGACTTGGAGAGACAGACAGATCACCACAACGTGCATGCAATATCTGGAACCGATTCGATCTTTGTTTGTGATTGGAAACTGAGTGTGTTGATTTTTCCCCCCATAGTAACCGGTTTATTTCAACGAACAGTAAGCAGTTTCATCAGAGAATGCCATTTCCTCCCTTGGACGAACTCGAATCGAACACGTTAGGATAATCAAATCCGTGTCATTGGGCGGCTACTCAGTCAAATGTCATCACCTGGAGGGCAATATTAGTCCAGTTTCAGCATATTTGCACCCTATTAGTTAGTGCAACTTTGAACACATCGTGAATTGAAAGATTTTTGGGGCTTGACTAAGCGAATGGGATCATTATTCTACAAGGATATCCCGAAATCTTACGGATCGGCTCACGTGAACGGGGAAATCATCGTAACAAGATTAAAAAACCAGATGCCCCGGCAAATTTTAAGTTATCACAAAATGCATTTGATTTTGAGGCGTAGGAGGACAGTACGACACGGATGCGTTTACAATGACCAGTCACCGGGATGAGCGGTGTCTGTCACTCACAGATGTCTCGATACAAGAGAGATAGAACCCAAATAAAAAAGACCAAACGCACTAGCGTTGCTCAAACCAACCCAAAAATAATGACACCAGGAACACTTGGAAAAGGAAGTCGTAGTTGAAGTGGAATGTGGACCAAGTCATAGGCAAATTACCATTTGCCCGTTGAAATAAAGCGATGGAAGGCTTAGCTTGGGAGAAGTATATGAAAATTGCAGTACCGTGGGAAGTATTTTGGAACAGACTACAGACTAACAGGTCATGGCAAATGAAGTTTCCGATACCCAGCATTTTGCATCAAGAAAACTCATCCCAATGCAAAAAAGAGGTCGGTTGGGTGAGCTGCGGAATTTCTCGCTGTTGTGGTTGGGAATTAGCTGATAATATTGACTAATTGAACAATAAACATCTCGTATTGTCCTTTGTCCTTCAATTTACAAGCATGGACCAGTCAAAGGAATCTGGGAATAGCGACGAATCACAAGCATCGAATTCATCCGACTTTAAGTCGAGTGGTGCTAAGGACTTTTTTCCCAAAAGTAACAGCGAACCATGCTCTACAGATGCCTTACTTTAAGCTATCAAGAACTCGGACAAACATCAAGGAAAGAAAATCTTAAATTGAAAGTATTTGTAATTGTCCAGGACTTCGGTTGTACGTCACGATGAACACCGGAAAATAACTGTTCCACTACTGTGTTCCCCAAATGATATGTACAGCTATGAGCTTTATATATCACCGCTCTATGATTTACTGATAATATTCTTGTATGCTCTACCCAGAGATTTTCCGCCCACTGTTTAATGTCAACAGACGTATTGTTTCATCGAGCCATCGGTCGACGCCTTTCCTTTCTCTGCTTTCTGTACTCAAATTTACTAATTTCTGATCGATTTGCTTCTGTGATCTGTGATGGTTTTAATGAGATACTTTTATCGAGAACTCATCTTTTCTTTATACTTTAGTTCCCCTTCAAAAGGTTGGCTTGCCGAATATCAGAAATAATCCATGGGATAATGATGCGGTGACGATCCCACTGTTTTGAGTTTTTAATTAATCGAACACTCCTTAAAGCCTAAGTGACTAACCGACCACACATCACTTACCACCGATAAAACACAATCCCATCAAGTATTAGGCACGATCTGGCATACCCTCTAGTCACAACGTCAATCTAACATGAATATTTGGTACATTTTCTAGGAGTTGTGCAGTTTCGTTCAGCACTTTGAACAAAGTAGCTCACCTGTCCTCGATTGATTAATGTATTGCAGACTATTGCTCAAAGAGACTACGTGTGAACAGAAAAAATATGGATCGAAAGGCCAAAAGCATCATGTCACGTTTATCAACCTCGTTGAGCATAGCAAGCAGTACCTGTGTATCAGGCCCTACGGGAACCAAATCTATAGAGCGATGGTAGTGAAGCACGAGAATACAGAGCAACTGCTCAGTAACGGGTCGCACTTGCTTGCGCTAAACCTGATTCTATCATTAGCAGTTTTGAAATAGTTTCGCATCCTCCATTAATCAATTACTGGTTAGTCTTATCAACTGGATTATATAGGGAGCTAAACAAAATTTATCAAATCCAACAACATCGCGACTGGTTCGGTAATGGATGTTTCGGGTTTCTACCAATGGATGGAGACCCCAGGTTAAATAAATCAAGATCAAAAGGGTAGATATATTTCAAATGGAACTTCTGTTTGAGGTGTTTTTCATCGGACCGTAGAAAAGACAAAAAACTCTTGGAAAGGAGTCACGTAGACAAACGATTTTGAGCAAATACCGGGGACTGGTCGATGATCGAAGACCAGTAGGGGCAATGATGAAAGAAAAACAATGTATCAGAGAAGACTGTTGACGAAAACACGAAAAGCCATTGGGAACAGACAAAATCTGTTAGATGACTGTGGACGGAAGGTCGAAAAAGTAAGAATTAGGGCGAAAATATAGGACCTGAAAATGTGGCCACAAGGGAATAAACAGAATTGAAATGATATATATTAACACATGCATGTCTGTCGTATTTGACCAAAACGAAGGGTAGTGGTCAGCAGAGCAAAGCAAACATTCCATGTAGACTAGTTTATGTGAAGATCTATTCGAGCTCCACGATCACATCGCCATCACCGACAGTATCACCAGCTTTGAAGTTGACTTTCTTCACCTATAAGTAAGGTAAACATAATAGTGAGGACAGATACTGATATACAAATAACTGTTTTAGATTCCACAGATTTACAGTGAGTGCATGAAAAAGTTACACCATTACTTCGACGAGCATATGCATAATAGGATAAAATGTCCCGTTTTGCAATATTTCGATTAAAACTGCGAATCTTTCTGAAGAAAATATGCAAGGTGGGTGAAAAATGATAAGTTATTCAATCACGTATTTTAATTGATAGATCATTGGAGTACAATTATTTAAGAACCAGCATTCGGTAAACTTGTTCAATTTAGTTCACTTTCAGTTTGTACAGTCCTTAACCATGCACTTTCACGTGCCAGTTTTGAGTGCTGTCTTTTGGCCGCCCATTTGGATGAACAGTAGAAAAACTTGAAGTTAGAACGAAAGAAAGAATGAAGAATTTCAGTGGACTAAGACTGTTCAATTTAGCTAATCATACAATCACAAAGCACACTTAATCTCGTATGCGCCTCCTAAGGGAACATAACAATAAGCATTCAACACTGTCGTTATTTGACTGGTGCGTGGTAGTACAGTGTCAAGCACTCCATAACACAGGAAAGTGAAAAACAACATGGTTTGTATGTGTACTCATGTCGAAACGAAATCCAATCAGAAAAAAAATTAATGGATTTAAAAATTAGCGCTGCATGCAAGGAACTAATTCAAAGTAGGGCGAAAGAGTGACAATCATCCAATAGAGAAGTTTAAGCATAAACACACAGTTAAGTTAGTGTAGCGCACGAAGCAGACGTGATCCAATTTTATCAATTCATCAAAGCTTGTACATTCATTTATTGAGACGAAACGGAACTGAAGTCAGCCGACACATGGTATGTGATGTATGGATCTAAATAATATAACAGAAAACATATGCGCGATTCGCTGACTTTTGTATAACTTATATTTTCATTAACGAGGGCATAAAAATAGCAAAACTCAAGCACTATGTTAGAAAGTCAATCGTTCCGGATACGGCGTTAAAATAATCCGGGGTTGAAAGAAAAGCATTAAAACATGCATAACAGCGTTTCAATACACTGTACATATTATTTTTCAAGCAGGAATTGCTTACCACTCCGGAACGACCAGCTGACAGACTATTCTGCATCTTCATGGCTTCCAAGACGCACAACTCCTGTCCATCACTGACCCGATCTCCGACTTTCACGGCAACGGAGCGCACCAAACCAGGCATTGGTGCGATACAGATAGATCCGTAGTCGACCACTTTGGGTGGGGGCATATAGGCTGCGTGGTACCAAGCCGCGTTTGTATCGCAAATGTCTACTGGAAAAGCCGTACCCAAGTATTGCAGTCGAACTGTGTCCACACCGCGATCAAGAAGTTGGAGAATGACCTGCGAAGAATGCAATGAAGTACCGTTTTATTTTCTAGGGTGTGGAGTATCCCGAATGGACGAAACACAACAGTAGGAGTTCGAGTGAACGTTAAGCACTCAAATGCCCGTCTGCCGAGCAAAGAATAAAACGAGGATCAGATAGAATAAATTCCACCGATGGTGCTGAAATAAATCGAGTTCGGTGATTTCCACCCGCATGTCAGTCGGCATTTCATTCATAATGTAGCTTGTTTGCTTCAGGTGCGAACAAATATGACGGCAGAAATTTCTACCGAAAGATTTCTCTACAGATGGATAAAATTGTTGGGTTTTCTACTAGTGAACCAAGATATACCGATTCATTATTAGCATAAATTAAAAATTACTTCAGAGGAAAAGAAAGGGATATTGAAAACTTTCTCATTTGTATGAATAAGTCAGATTGGAAATAAAAATAAAAATATACCCCATAATCTGTCATCTTGTCGAACAATTGCATAGCCCCCATTTTGTAATCAGCTCTAACTACTTGCAACAAAGTCTCGAATCAACAATTGTTGTTTCCGAAAGAAACCCGATGTGAAGTTATTACCCTGCATTGATCTAAATGAAAAGATTCCACAAAGAATACTGGAAACTCTGGGTCATGTATTCCATTTAAATTTTCAGTCATAAAGCCAACGCGCGGTCAAACACGTACATCATTGCCATCTGCATTGTGGTGAATCACTTTGTCCGAAAGTTTGAAATTGTCAGAGACTCGAACCACGGCCGCTTTAGATTCGTCCATCTTTTGGCACGGAGAGGAGTGAAGAGACTTTGAGTCTCCTTTGGCGGTGGTCACATTTTCGGGTTGAGTCCATGGGGACATGCGAACTTCGAAAGCGCCGTTCTTGTGTGTAATACGACAACGCATGAAGTGCTGACCTTGGGAATCTTGACCCAGCACTTTGGGGTCCAAACCAGCAACCAAGTCCCATACGTGACTAGTCAGAATAGGAAGTAACACACACAATGAACAGATGCTCGAGTAAAATGGTCGATCGGTATAGATGTGAAATACAAGCGATCCAAAACTGACCGCTAAAAAGAGAATAACGGGCAATACAGACAGAGGAAGGGCTTGAACCAAAAGTATAATTATTGAAGGGGCAATTGTGTGATTCAATCTAATGAATAAGAGTGGAATCCACTCAACAAAAATACATTATTTATAATTTCTGCGTTTAAAACTAAGAAATACACTTCGTTGCTTAAAATCCAATCAGCTCTATGGAGGAATTAGTTTGGACTGAAAGTGACAAATGACATAAGTTGTGATGATGAACAAAGCTTTCTTCGAAAACGCAAACACTATCAGTGTGAACCATCTCAAATGTAGCCAAATTTTGATCTGGCAGCATGAAACCGATATCATCTTGGGCGGCGGGAATCCTGAGTTCGATCCTCACCACTGCCGCCTAACTTCCCATTATCTGTATTTCCCCAGATATCATTTGCATTACCGCAGTTCCGGCCCTGAAAGCTGATTGTACACTTCAAATAAACAAAAAAGAAGTATAGCATTGAATATGTATTACTGCTTGTATTGTATTATTTGCATGACTTCGCTGTATAAACTGCGAGAATAATGTGGTAACGTATATGGCAACCGAAAGAATCTACTGTCTGACGAAATGATAAAGCTACCGGATTTCTCTTTTAGCAAAGAAGGATAGAATAATAAAGTAAAAAAATAAAGCCAAACAGGCTTCGCATAGGAATAACAGATACTCTCGGAATTCGACCGCTCGGTAAACAAAGCGTCAAACAAAGAAAACGATCCGAGAAACAACCTTTTCAGGTTCTGAATGAGATGCGGCACTTTTAAACCACAAATAACTTGTTTGTTTCGATAAATCCCTAATTTTATATTCCCCCCCCCCCCCTCTCTTTATTTCATTCACAATAGATTTCAGATGACTTACTCCTCTTCCCAATGCTGATTTCGTAGGATGTTCTTGACATAAACTGCTGCACTCACGGCATACAATGTTTGAAACTCATTTGGAGTTAGAGCTTTGCCTGAAAACGACAAGAAGTTATATACTCTAATTTTCTGTCAATATGTAATGCAACACAACAGTAATGTAATCAAATTTGTTGAAAACCAACTCCGTAAAGTATGTTATACGTAGCTTAGAATTCAAAGCCTTGGTAAAAATACCCAACCAGTTGTGAATCACTTACCCTTCTTTGATAAATAACACAAATCATGCATGAGCATTCATATCGCAGCAAACGCGAGGCGTTCACTCTGGCCTAGCATTTAACCTATTGCTATTTCCCATGCACGGACTACCGGTAAGGGTTAGTCAACCAAAACATAATGCCGGAAGTCGAAATTTAGCTATTGGAACTGTCTATCAAACAACAACAAACTTAAAACCCGTAAACTTCAGAATTGTAAAACAACGCTATTGCCGTGGACTACACTTGGAGGAATCATGAAAATTTGCATTGCTTGCCTTGAAAACCTTCTGGATAGGTCTCAGTTAGGTATTTCGTGGAAATGTCTCCTGCAACGAACCGCTTTTCTGTGATAATATCACGAAGCAATGGGATATTGTGTGTTACACCACGAATAACGTAGCTGTCCAGAGCGCGAGCCATCGTATTCAAAGCCGCTTGTCGATTGGGACCGTACGTGACCAGTTTGCAGATCATTGGATCGTAGAAAATGGAAATCTCCGAACCTTCGCTAATTCCACTATCGCATCGAACGTTGGGAATATGCACCGGCTCAATATAGGAATTCAAACGACCGATGGAGGGCAAGCCGAAAGCTTTGTACGGATCTTCGGCGTAGACACGACATTCTATAGCCCAACCATGGATGGGTATATCAGACTAGAATGAAGACAAAGGGAAAACTGGAAGATCATAAATCTAGCAGACTAAGTTCTTGAGCTCGGCGATTAAACTGTGTATGGCTTTTTGGGGAGAATAATTCCAGTTATACATCACGGTCCGAATTGCCGTTAAATTCAACCACAAAAGATGTCCTAATGAAAACCTTTAGAGCTATATATAATTGGTATTTCATGCTCAAAAGGATCCATGCTCTCGCTGGAATCGTTTTAGTTTTCATAAACCTCAGTACGTGAGAAATTATACCACTTTTCAGGAAAACCCTATAAACTGGTTCTGTCTTTGGAAAAATACGCTTTTCAAGTTGAAACCCTAGATAAACTTTTCGAAATCGAGATCAGCCCATCTGATCTGACACTGATGACACTCAGCGACACGGATAAGTAACGGAAATAGTCGGATTCATGCATTTTCTCAGATACATCATCACTAATTTGTACACTTAGTATCTATTCTGCCAAGATCTTAAGTAGATGAACAACAGAAGACGACAGTTGTTTGGTGTTGGTTCAACATAAAATAAGCATCGTTACGAACACTAAATGTGTATTAAAAATCTACACAAATTATTCAATTTGACAGAAAATACAGTTCAGTTTGCTAATTATATTCATGCCAGTTGACCAGCGCGATGTCTGGCATCAAGAGTCCGGATAACTTGCCTGTTTCAGTAAAAGTGGATGTCCTTTACCAACTCGAAGCATTTGATGCACGATATCGACGCCAGTCGTGCACTCAGTAATCGGATGTTCTACTTGTAGCCGGGTGTTCATCTCGAGGAAATAAAAGTTCTTTTTGGAGTCTACCAGAAACTCGACGGTTCCTGTGGATACACGAGCAAAGTGACCGAAGTGAAAACAACTGATTCAAACTATCGAGCGGATGATCTTACATAATCAATGTTTTCAATCAGTCATCTAACCAGGAGCTGACATTGAATTTCTTACTACAAGAATACATGGTGTACGGAGATAGGGTAAATCCAAAAAACGGAAAATACGGGAATGGGATGGGAAAACATTCACCAAAAATAACTTGTTGATTCTGTGCTTGAATATGGAAAGGATACGAGTGGAAGAGAGAAGTTAAAAGTTATTCCATGGTTCCGTAGGTCTTGGAAAAGAATTGGAATGCTACACTCGACAGCTTTTGAAGTAACTTGGTCAAGATAAATTCACGCTTGTGATCGGGTTCAACGAGCAAAAGAAACTAGAGGGGCCAAATAGGCAAGCTTTGCAGAACAAAATTCATAATAATCACGGTAGAAAATGGTCAATGAGGAGATCAAAAATGTCTAAGAAATGAGACCTTCCTTTAGATGTGACTAAAATATCCCAGATCGGGAAGTGTTTTTGTCTTGTAAAAATGAAAAGTTGAGAAGGGGAAATCTGCTTCACCGATAGAGGCTAGGAAATCCCTCTTAATGCGACCTACGCCTGCTCAACAATATGAGAATAAACTATGGAAGAGGAAGATTGAAGACCAAGCGGAAATGTAAAATATGCAGGGCAAGATGAACGAGAGTCGAAGTACAGAGTATAGGGGTTGTCTTTGAGACAGATATACAAGAGGTTTTCACGGCATTGAACACGACTCGATTTTTAGTGCCCCAAGCACTCAGGTCTGAACTGAATAAACAACATGTGCACAAAAATCAACTAAGTGAAACTTAGACAAATGAAAAGCAAACATTTGCATGAATAAATGGTACATAAGCTCAATTACTTACCCGCAGAATCGTATCCAACGGCTTTAGCGAGCGAAACTGCCTGCTCACCCATAGCTCGTCGAGTATCCGGATCCAAGAATGTACTAGGTGCTTCTTCAATAACCTTCTGATTACGTCGTTGAATAGAGCATTCACGCTCATTCAGATAGATTGCATTTCCATGTCGGTCACACAAAACCTAACATGAGAAATTTGGTAATTATGGGGAAGTATGAAAGACAGTATTTTGATTCCATTTATTTGGCATTCGACAAATATCCCACCAGTAAGCAGCAAACCAATGGCTACTGGGGAAAGTTTAAAAAATGATAGTGTTATAGTGGCAAACCTCAAATCACATTTTCTAGGGTACGATGGGATTGTGAACTATAGTGTATGGTTATCTCCGCGATTACTGAGAGGCTGTATGATTTCCTAAATGGTTGATCCTTCATTGACGCACGAAAGAAATTCCATAATTTTGCGAAATCTGAAATTATACTATCCGTCCCCGAGTCCCCCTTAATATTATTAGTGTTGGCGCTTTGACATTATGCTTGCTCGCAAACCAGTGATACATACTTACCGAAAGCTTTATTTTTTATCCTTCAATAATCGAATGCTCAAGTATAAAAGGTTATCGGATGAAAATCACACTTAAAAGAAAGGTTATCATTTGTATTGCAGTCAGCAACTAACTTCAAAGTTGTGATACTGCTCACTAACCTAAGCAAATCAATTGTGAACATGAGCAATTATAAACATTCTATACACCAGTTACATCAGTTTAGTTTATGAACACTAGTGAATTCGAGTAAGATTAACAGATACATGTTTTTAGGTGGGGTTGTAGGAAGTTCTGTGATATGGAGGGCAGGCAATGTCACAAAAGATCTAAATCTAATTAGGAAGGATTCCGTGAAAATTATTTTCGACATCTGCTTTCTCTTCTGGGATGACCGTTATACGGAAATAAGTCAACATCTAACCTATTCATGATATATATATATATATATATATAAACACTCACTTGGATTTCAATATGCCGTGGATTGTCAATGAATTTTTCGATGAGCATACGATCATCGCCAAAGCTAGACTTTGCTTCAGCCTTAGACAAGCGGAATCCCTCTCGTGCTTCTTTATCATTCCAGGCAATACGCATACCCTTCCCACCGCCACCAGCAGATGCCTTGATCATCACTGGGTAACCTGTGCACGAAAAAGTGGCAAAAATAAACATTAAAACAAATGAGTTGCAAGCGAACACTGTGGTTTGTCCCGGCTTGTATGAATATAAGTCAGTCTTATGTTAGAGTAAGTCCAAAAAGGACCTTGGGATTACGGTATCTTAGGTACTCATTTGGAAAACTATCTTTCTCATCATCTCATCTGGTATCTTGTGATATCCCAAACACCATTCAGTTTTTTTCTATCGCGAATGCGTCCCTAGCCTATATAGTTACAAATGGTCTGGATGGAATGGGGCAATAGGGCGATGGTGATGATCTGATGCAGTGAAGGTGGAGCCAAAAATCGTATGAAACTTCAGGGACTCAGCCTATCCTCTACAAAATCCAATCCAAGTACCGTAAAGTAAAAATGAGGTAGCAAAACATATGTGCGCGATTTACAAATGTTTCCATTGACATTTATGGTATTTTGCAGAGAAGGCGATTATCGGACAAAATCCCGCTACCTTTTAAAATATTAAAGCGATACCCACCCGGTCATGACTGAAAACCTAAGTGACCATTCAGAGGATCAGACACGAACGACGTTCGGAGTGTATCGAAAATTCGATGCGCCATGTGATGTTTTATATAAGTTGTAATTTTGAAAACAGCGATTTCGGTACAGGTGGAAATAAGTCGACGTTTCGGTTACCTTGGATAACCTCTATCAAGGCGATTTTACAATCTATTGTGTTTTCAAAATTACAACTCATAAGTAAGTGATCATTAATATAAGCGATTTAGATGTGGACGCGAAGGCAAGCGGCTATACTTAACGTGAGCCTGTAGTGGTTTATGGCATCCTTGGAGATACTAGATTACTTTGAATGACACTATCCGGATATGAGCAATCGAGAACTGTCGCCGTTTACTGGACTATCTTTAGTTGTACTAGATCCAGCTTCTGCACTCGAATGGTGGCTTTCTGGCGTTGCCTCGATCCAAAAGACATCCTCGTTACTTTTTTCAAAATAAAAATTTGGCAAAATTTGAGGTAGCAGTTGGGACCAAAGATTATAAAAAATACTCTACATTAAATCAAGTACTAAAGTATAGTTGAAGTGGTAAACTCTGTGATAACTAAATAGGAACAAAGATCAGAATCTGAGTATGACTAATATCTGAGCCAATCTCAATCTAGGTCTGTTATTAAAAGATGTTGCAACCTACAGATTTCAGATATGTGAGAAAGTTAAACATATACATAATAGACGCTGTTATTATTGTTGTGGCGTTGACACCATGCTAGTCTGCCAGCCCGTATTCATATATATATATACACATATGTATATATATATACTGTTTTCGATTAGAATTTGGGTAAAAAAGATAAACGTAAAGATTAGTGTTTTAAAAAGAGCAATTAAGACTGGTCGATGAACGGACAGTATGCGAGATGTTCACGTTATTGAGAAGGCAACTGCATTCATCGTTTACCTGCTAGTCTTTCGTGAATTATTCCGAGATTCAGTATTTTTTTGTTTAAATTCACTTTGTGAGAACCTAATTTTATCAAGAATGCGTTTTAAGTGTGTCTGTGAATGACTTTGCAAAAATACCCGTCTGATATTATGCGATCGTAGTCAAACTCAACTTGTGGTACATCGTGAGATAATAACCATGCTTTTTTATCGTATATTTTCTGCTTTATATTTGATACCTGAGGAATATGTGAACTGTTTAATTATTGTCAATAGCAACTTTAGTGTAAAAAGAGCTGGTGGTGATAAATAAAGCTATTCGTGACTCGGTTATAAAATTTTATTTCTGATACTAAGATGATGCAAACTGCTTAAATCGATCGCCATATTTGAACAACCTACCACCTGATTATTTGGATTTTTGAATCTTCTGACCTTGGTTATTTACAAACACTCTGCCACTGGAAAGGCAAGCTGCAACAAATGCATAAGATTCGCACACTTGGTTTCTTCCTCTTTCACCGTTTGTCCGAATGTTTGAAGATTGTCCACGAACGAGTCCTAATTGAGGGTACTGTTTGCATTAATGTTTTCATCAAACGTAGGACGAGAAGTCTAATGGGAATTGTATCAAATCTGAACTGTTTTGAATGAAATGACATAACCAAACAAACAGCAATCACCTGATGATTTGTAAACACTTCAATAGCTTCATTTAAATCGTATAATGAGTCTTTATTTTCACTTTTAAACGATCAATTTCGGCTGGTTTTATTAGTAATATATAGGATAAAATCAATAACTCCCTTACAACTTTGCCTTAGGTGATGTGCGAGAGAAATTTTATCTGATGGAGTCAAACTCCTTCCAGGTAACAGAGTTCGTGAATTAAAATATACCCATGATATCGCTTTGTTGGCTGACAATAGACAGGCAGTCCAACACGCTTTAAACAGCTTGGCGACAGAGGTATCCAGATATTGTATGTTCTTCAAGCCATCAAATTGCAGTGTTTATTTAAGACTGGAAGGAGCCTGTGCTTGCTCTCACCCTCTGTGGTGAAAGAGAGTGGGGATCAGCTAGAAGTATTTGAGAGCTCGAAAACTTAATGACAGCCGGTCGTAGTGGTGTTAAGGAGATCATATCATAAACAGCGGAAGCTAGAGCAGCTTTTGCCAACCTGCGACACCTGTGGTACCACCATGACATCCGTTTCGGCCCTTAAGGAAAAGGTGTTCATCATTGCGGTTCATAGTGTTCTGCTTTACGATTGCGAGACTTGGGCCCCCGGGGTTGAGGACGCTAATTGACTCTCTGAATTTAACCACCGATGTCTCCGAAGCATTACTCATGTCTAGTGGAAACATCGGGTGAGTGTCCGTCATCGTGTGCTGGGTGCCGGTAGTCGTTCTCTAAAAAAACGTAATCGCTCCACACCGACTCCAATGGCTCGAACATGTTTTTCGTATGCCTACCCATCTTTTACCGTTCCGTGCTCTTTTGCGCATGCTGGTCAAGGCTGGAAGAAACGTCGCGGCCGTCAGATCATGGCATGGTGCAGAGGTATGAAGAAACCAGCTTTAGCTTTTGCTGTGGTTGGTGCAGCCCGCCTTTCATTTTGGGACCCAAGGAATGATGGCTGTCGCTGATTATAGATGCTAAGATATTTGGCCCACAATAGAAGTCAGTGGAGCGAATGTTGTGTGGTCAAAATCCCGAGCCCCATAAAAACACGATAAACCAATACGCAAAGATATCAAAACGTGTACGGTGAAGCATACAAAATTTTTGTCATTTCTGTTATTTACTGTTCTCCATTGTAACTGTTTAACGTTCTTCGTCCTGCGTTCTGTATCTCAATCCATTCATTCCCTGTTTCTGGTATTATTGTTGTGGCATTGGTATCATGCTTGTCTGCCAGCCAGTGATATATAGATATATATAAACTATGTACCAATCGACTAATCGACCCAAAACATAAAACGACTTGCAAAATAGATCAATCCATGAATAGTATTACTGATATAAGCTTTGCTACTAACGACAGATGTCGAACACAAAAGCGACACAACAAAACAACTAACCAATTTTTTGTGCTATTTTAACAGCTTCGTTTTCATCAGCGACTTCTCCGTCGAACCCGGGAATGCCATTTACCTTTGCTTTTGTTGCAATGCGTTTACTTTCAATTTTGTCCCCCATGGATTTAATGGCTTTCGAATTTGGACCCAGGAAAACAACACCAATCTTCTCCAGTTCTGCAGCAAACAGAGTATTTTCAGATAGAAAGCCATAACCCGGATGCACAGCTTCAGCTTTGGTAGTTTTCACAGCATCCAGAATTGCCGGCATATTGAGATAAGATTGAGCACTTGCAGCCGGACCAACACATACGGATTCATCTGCCATACGGACAAAACGAGAGACAGCATCGGCTTCACTATACACGGCTACGGTTCTGATTCCTTGCCGTTTGCAGGACTGAATGACGCGACAAGCGATTTCTCCCCGATTGGCGACAAGAACCTTGTTGAATTTCTAGATTCAAATTTGTGGGGGCAAAAACAGAGATTAAATTAAATGCGTAAATGGTGACCAGAATTACAACTCGGTCAACACAGTTAATTGTTCAGGTAGTTGCATGATTTTGGTTGACAAGGACATACTTGAAAGCTGATGTAGGTCTTAAATCTATGTTTACTGCCTTATTTGTAAGCGTAGCAGAGCCCCTAATCAAAGTATTACACGCACTGGAAAGTAACCTCAGCCAACCATTTTCATTAGTTGATGTTACGGTGATATCTTTGCACCTGTTACTCATGAGTCTCCTGGAATTTATTACCAAAAAGAACTGAAGATAAAATGAAAACACACATCAAAATGGGGGATATCAGGATTGGCAAAGCTGTTCGATCATATTGACATCTGCTCACAGGGATGGGTCGTTAGAGTGCACCTGCTGTTGCCTCAAAATAAACTCTAAATGCGCTTATAACTAACGCATGAATTATTCTTCTCTAGGTATAATCACTTTTGATGACACCAGTTAATATAAATATATATCAGTATTGTTGCATGTGTGCGCTATAAACCTAAATGTTCTTTACGGCTGATTGGTTATTTACTGTGAAATGATAACTTCTAGTTAGAACAAAGATGCATGTAGAGAAAAAAAAGGTGGCGCGGTAGTTTAGTCCCTGTCACCGACGTCATTTGGACCCTACGGTCCGAGGTTCCAGTCCCGTCACCCAACTTTGGTGGTAGGCAGCTTTGTTGTCGTTCGGTTAAATATCATGGCTAACCTATCGGAGTCTTATGTGGGTCACCACTCCAAGTGCCGGTCTTAGGTTAATGAACAGCAGGCCCTCGTGACTATGGGAGTTAATCTGTCTGTTGTTCATCACACTAGAAAGTATGATAAAAACAAATTTTTTAAAACTATTGTTTTTCCCAAAGCTGGGTAGAATTATGCAGCCCAAAACCAATACGTTTACTGAATGTGCTATTGTCTTAACTACAACGGAGGTCAGAAATAAATTTTTGATTTCCATACACTCAGTTGAACAATAACTTAAAAAGTTGAGGAATTTCACTGTAGCGTTGGTTTTCGTTGAGCTTAACGTGTGATTATTATTGTTTCAAAAATCTTTCAAACTCAGTGTGACTTGCGATTCTTTTCCGTCTTAATAAGAACACCCTGTAACCAAGAACTACTTTCGACTGTTTTTCGAATATCAAGCTTTTTATAAGTATATTATTTACTGGATTTCAATTGAATATATAACAAATAACCACCGGCTTATCAAGTTGCTGATTTTGGACTAGGATTTGAAAGAAGTGATCAATTGCGACTTCAGAAACGTTTTACCTGTATATTGTGTTGGTTGTTCATCTATAATAACCAAACCAAAAGACCACACACTATATAACTTGGAAGTTTATGGGCTGGAATCAAACGTCCTATATGATAACCATCCAACTCTTCCACAGAGAAATAAAACAAAACAAAATGAATCTCATTTTGCAATGATGCTCGTGCTGAAACCTCTTTGCACAAACAGACCCGAGAAAAGCGTGTACTAAAACCAAATTTGGAATCAAAAAGTATTATTCCATTTTCTACGTAAGGCGAATGGCCTAAACCATTCAACATTACATTATTTTGTTACTGTCTCTTTCGTTTTTTATTACTTGGGTTATATATCACATCAATGACCATTTCCGATAGGCTTAAAAC